GTGTCCAATTGAGCCAACTGGGTGTCACCCATTTTGGGCGACACGAGAGCCCTCCATCGGCGACGCCTGTCAAGTATCTGGCAACCCTGGTAAGGGCCCTAATCTCTGTTGGTCTCTATTCTTCATGGTCTGTACTGTTAATTCTGAAAGAAGTTGTTGGAATCTGATTTTAAACCGGGAATTTGATGAATTCTATTAGAAATATTTGCAGTTTATTTATTGGAAATTAAAGATTTGTCATTGTACAATGAAGAGAGTTATTATTTTTGTTAACGGAACTGATGTTAATGGCAAAGTAAGTATATTTTGCTCATATCAAATTATATTTAAATTGCATTTCAATGATTGTTTCATTATTTGTAAGTTGATTATTTTATATATTCACATATGTGTGTGTGTGTGTGTAAGTTAGAAACTAAAAATTAAATTTTTATTCGGCGAAAATAAAATTATAGCATTAACTATACATTTAGAAAAGCCTTTTGCATCTATACTTGCATTAATAAGTTTTACGATTTGTAACGTCTACTTGCAATCGAAGGAGAAAGCAAAGTTGTAACTTGCTGTGTATAGTTGAACAGCAATCTATAAAGCCTATTCTACAATGTATTCTTTATTTCCTGTTTCTTGCTTTTTGCCTCTTGCTTTTTCCCTCTTTGCAACCGTTTTATCGACAATTGTATTTCTTACTACATGTTTCCTATTTCTTTCGAAGTTCGTTAACTTTTATTTCGGAAGATATAAAACAAAAAACCGGATAAGAAGCAAAAAGACAAGATGTAAAAAATAGTAAAAAGTAAGAAACAGGAAACAAAAAGCACATTGTAGAATAACCATAAAGTCTATTCTACAGTGCGCTCTTTGTTTCCTGTTTCTTGCTTTTTACCTTTTGCTTTTTTCTCCTTTGCAACCATTTTATCGACAATTATATTTCTTGCTACGTATTTCTTGTTTCTTTCGAAGTTTGTTAATTTTTATCTCGGGCAACATAAAACTGGATAAGAAGCAAGAAGACAAGATGTAAAAAATAGTAAAAAGCAAGAAACAGGAAACAAAAAGCACATTGTAGAATAGGCTAAGATTTCAGAAAGCAAAAAACATAAAATTAGTTTAAATATACAGAAGTATGATATTAGTATAAGAGAAATGTAATACTGCACGGTAAGAAACATTTTGTATTTGTGTTGGAAACAGTTCACTTAATTCTTTGTTGAACGTTTGTGTTGATGAATTTTTTAACATATATTCGAGTGCTAATTTAACATAATATGATTATGTTATTTTATGTTAAATTAATATTTAACACTTCTTAGTAACAAAATAACAATTTATGAGTAAATAATTAATATAGAAATGATGTATTTTAATATTTAAATCCTAGATCAAGATGAATGAATATAATGTGTTTTAATTTAACATATCATAGACGTTAATTTTACTGAAAAAATGCTTCCATGTTTATTGTTTACAAACCAATAATACTTTATGTTTATTTTTTTAAATAATGGTAATTACAGCACAATCACCTCAAAAATCAATAAAATCAAACTTATTCAATTACGATTTTGCATGAAATGAAAGAATCTGTCAGAAATAAGTGTCGCTCTGCCCCACAAACTGAGATATTAAACGTTAAAGTTGACTACTATTGAGGCTACTACTATTGATTGACTACTATTGATTGCAAAATCGAAACACATGTGCAATAGTACAATTATAGAAGTTGTGCGCCCCTTTGCAGGGGGGGGGGGGGGGGTAAGTCGCTTTGCGTGGAAAGTCGAAGCTCATATGGAACAGTACAATTATAGACCTTATTTTGCCTCTGTGACAGATTTCCTAACCTCAATAGTAGTCAACTTTAACGCTTAATATTTCGGTTCGTGAGGTAGAGCGACGCTTATTTCTGCCAAATTCTTTCATTTCATACAAAAATGCATAAACCTAATTTTATTGATTTTTAAGATGATTTGCTAAATTGTATAATTACCAAAATAATATTTGTTTTTGTCTTGTATTAGATGTTTGAATAAGTTTCCGTCGTTTTCTAAAAGACGTCGTCACGAGTACAACATGCATAGAATTCCAATGGCAACTGTTGTATTTGAATACTTTACACAATTTCATACTTAGTATCCCTAATAGCACAAGACGTCCTCAGGATTATCCTGAATATGTCCCAGGATATCCTGGACATTTTATGGACATGCATATCTCCACAGGACGTCCTGAGGATATTCTTAGGGCATCATCTTCAGGACATCCTCAGGACGTCCTTTGAACATCTTCAGGACGTTATGGGAATAGCCTCAGGACATTCTTGAGACAGCTTCAGGACATCGTGGGGATAGCCCCAGGACGTCCTTGAGATAGTCTTAGGACGTCCTTGTGGGACTTTCTTAGGACGTCCTTGTGAGACAGTCTCAGAACGTCCTTCGGAAAAGACTTCCGTAAACATTTTTTATATATAAATAATGTATTATACATGTATGTTACAAAACTATATACAACTTAATATTTACATTAATTGAAAGAATCAGTTTTAAATATTTCAATGGAATGTCCTTTTCTTTGATACTAACGTGATCATGTGCTAACAAAATATATTAAGTACATTTATATATACATTAATTAAGTTAATTTTATTATCTAAAAATTAAGAGTGTAGTGTAAAAAATTTAGAGGAAATGGGCATAACAGAGAAGCTATCAGCGTCGAGGCTGTGTGGCTCAATGGCAGGACGGAAGTCTATCAACTCAGAGGAGAGACCAGGCCTAGGTTCAAGAATCGAAGCGCCCTGATATTTTTCTCGTGTTGTTGCTTATTTCTTAGAGTAATTTAACCACGTTTACAATTGACCACCTATTCACAACGCTTGAACAGTGGAAAATACTTTCCAGGCATCAGTTTCTGTGAGTGGATGTGATCATTTTATTTTACTTTTAATACATCCTGAAATAGTCCTGAAATCGTCCAGAAAGTCCTAAAATAGTCTTGAATATATCCTAAATTAATCCCCGATAATACCACAATGGATGTCCAGCGGATGTATGTGGGACATAATGAGGTGCTCATGTCATAGACCATAGGACGTCCTTGGACTACAATAGGACATCCTGTGGACGTCCCGTTTAGTCGGCAGGACGTCCACAGGATGTCCATAGGACGTCCCTGTGTTATTAGGGATATGATATTTGATGGACGTAAAAACAACATTTTTATCATTATATTGAAAACATTGACTTTTGTGCCAACAAAACAGCATTTGCGGGAAGTTTTACTGCATTGTTTATTGTTAAGAAAAATTCCACTGAAAATTATCGTTTGCTTGTGTAGGTGCATGGGGAGCATGCTCCATCCGAAAGAGTGGTTTCAACACTATAGAAGTGATGATTTCGATAAAAGATAAAGAACAGAAAAATGCATCGAAAAATTAAAAGATGAACTGGAAGCATTAGGGTAGAACGGGACTAGTTTTAACACTTTTTCTTTAAGTTATTATAAATCTTCACACAATAATGATAGATTAATGGTAAATGTTTTAAAACATTGCATGTTCATCTGGCTCAATAAAGTACTTATAAATCTTTAATATATCTCGTAAACATCTTCGAAGGATACCATAGGCCAGTCAAATTAAAGGAAAATCGACATTATAAAAGAAAGTGAAGGGAACAGGGG